GCAAAGCATGCCATGGGTGTGGTTCCTTGAAAAGCCAGCACGGTGAATCTTAAGGTGGATTACTTTGAAGCCAGAAATTATACACAGGTAAATGGAAATAGGAAAATCCCACCCTAATTCTAGCACTATTCTTGCGTCTCTTCTGAAATGCTGGACTCCTGCCAAGTCTATGAACATTTCATGGCAAACGCTGAGTCACAGGCAAGACAGAAACCCTTGCAAGACAGAAAAAGGAGGCAGGAGAGATGCACACTCCTTGCATTTAGGAACCTGGAGAGGAGAAGCAGGACAGAATGTGTTAATGCACATTTCAGAGCGAGGGTGCCTGAGAAGGGAGGCACATTACAATATCAAGGCAGCAACTCCAGACTATGTACAGGCATCATCCTTTGGAGGGAATTGTTTCCCTTTTCTTCCTTCTAGCAAGTTCAGGAAACAATCTCTGACTGCACTTCTGTTATCAAACACGCAGGGGATCTTTCATTGTAGGAAGACTTCGGGAATGCCACTGTTTAGGGCCTGTTGTAACAAACAGTGCCTAGAAGTGTTGTGTAACCTCTATTCTCTAGAAACTTCAGATTCATTCCTTCACATCTGCCAATGCCTTATGTTTTTGAGAAAGTTGCTCAAATTTGTGTTTCAATTTTCCTATATTTAAAATTAGGAAAGAACATTTCAGGATACTGTGAGGTTACATTGTCACTGTTTTGACATGGTACTGCCACTTGCAGAGATGATATCAGAAATTTGCAAAGAACTGAGCTTTGAAAGAAAGGATGGCTGACTCTCTGAACTTTAGGTCACACGTATCAATCCCTTAACCATCTTGTAAAAATTGCAATATATACCACCTTTGAGAAAGGAATTTCACTATGCAACAACAAAATACCAGCTAAAGCACAGAATACAAAGCAAACATCACAAAAACTTTCAAACATTAAAAGAAATCCCATTTTAAACAATAGCACTGGGTGAAGTTTAAATAAAGACACCAAACAAGATATCAAGTCTCAAATGAACAGCAGAAATATTAACAATTGATGCTTTTTAGGTGATAAATAGAGAAGGAAATTAATAGAAAACAAATATCTCATAGTTATAAGTTTTATTTTGGAAAATGTAAACCTCACTAACCATGCATACAAGTTAAGACAATATTTTACAGTTCTTAATTTTCTTCCTCTTTTAATTTTTTTCCTTTTATAGTTGCATAGGACATTATCACAATATATAACTATGCAATACAAAATACATAAAAAGTTACAGCAGAGCAAGAATAGATGAACATATAACTGTACAACTGTAATACTTCAATGTAGTGATTTAAAGAGTTGAAAGTGAGCCACAGAAGCTTTCATGCGCTGCTGACAAGCCTGTACAAGTGAGGGTGACACTGGCAGCTTTACAGCTCACTGTAGCTGGAAGTTTAGCTGTGAACACGTGCACGCTCCCCCACTCAGGCATGTGCTGCTGGAAAAGCACATGTGCACGCACACACATGCCCCCCACATGCACAATGTACACAAGTAAATGCACCTGTAACCAGAGATGAAACTCAACCACAAATCTCCAACAGGTTCAAAAAGTCCAAATGCAATGGCATGTGGATCTAGGAATTTGGTTCAGGCCCATCACTAGTTATTATGAAATGGATACCTATTTTTGCTCTGTGGACATCCCTTCATTAGTCAGTGTGTAGTATAGACACACTGCTGTGTATTTATGTATACACACATACACTAAACAATATACACATATATATCTATTTATATATATATGTGCATATGCTTATATAAATCCATATATATAAATAAATATATATTTATAAAAACCTATACCAGTGGATGGGCTTTTTGCATTCTATATTCTGGCTTATGGGATAAACAAGAATAATTTGGGTATTTTCTTCTGCCTAAGGCTATAGCTCTTATCCCCGAGAGTTACAAATACAGATGTTCATCATACCATTCACTGACATAGACTAGATGTTAGCACCTAATGCACAAACAGATGGTGTGATGGAGTAAATAAAAGAGCACCTGAAAGTTAGTTTGTAGGCATGACTGATGAAATTAGTAAATCTAATGGCAATTAAAAGGCAAAAACAACACTGCACTTCACAAAGTACAAATCCTGTAACTCATGACAAAACACTGGAGACGAGCAGTTGTGAAACACGTGTGCTCCTCACACAGCCTTTACTGCCCGGCTGTGCGAGACAAGGAGAGTGCTGAATGTCTGGGTAGAGGGTGATGAGGTTTAAAGGTGTGCAGAGGCTTTCATAGCCATAACTTCTTGCAAGGGTTAATGCAGTAAAGAGGGTGGGATACAGACAGGAATTAGGCATTACCATCGAACAGAGGCTTCTGATGACTTGTCATAAATACATACCTTTGCAGTTACGTAAACAGATACTAGGCATGTATTGTAAAAGCAAGGAATAATTAATTTGCAGATACAAAAAATTCTCACAAAATCTAGCTGCCAGGAATTTACCAAGATTGCTTTCTAAGAAGCAGGATGGAAACTGAATTCATGTTGCCATTAGGCCTTTGCACAGGGAGAGGTTAATGGAAGGAGTGAATGAGTTTCTATGAGCATCTTCAGTTTCACCTGGTAGCGAGGTGATGATTTTCACTTGCACCTATTTCCTGTAGAAAGGAACCAACTCAACACTTAGACAAGTTAGAATCATGGCTGGAGAAAAACAAACTTTCCAGGGCTTTCTTAATAATAATAAAGCTGTTGCTATAATCTGAAATGAAAAAAAAAATCACAGCAATGTTGTATTTTGTGAGAACACCTCAACAGATTGCATGGGGAAAGGAGGAGGCAGGAGAGATGCACACTCCCCCAGATGGAGAAACCTGCACTTTGCCAGAGCACTATTTCCTGAGTGTGACATGTTTGTTGCTGTGCCAGAAGACTGATTTAGATTACACTGCTGGGTGAAACAACAGAAAGGTAAGAATCTGAGGTTAGTTTGGATCAGCAAACAGATTTCAAAACATAATTTGAGATGTTCTGACCTCTCATGTCTGCAAAACTCAGGAGGAACCATCACGAGAATGGAGTCCAATGACCTTGCTGATCATCAGACATTTCTAGCAGATGCTAGAAAACCCCATTCTTTTCTCATATGAAAATATTAAGAGAAGTTCTTGTTTATATTCAATTTTGGAAAATATTAGTGATTTGGAATTTATCATTTTATCCTAAAACTATAAAGTTTTAAACCTCTAATGGAAATATTTGAAACTCTATCTGGGATTTTAAAACACAGTACCTTGACTGTCAGCCTAATACATCCTGAGGTATTTACAGCTGAGATGTAAAAACAAAAACGTTTTAATGACCAATTTCAGAGTATTTTCTGAAAGTGTTGTTATGTTGGCTATATATAGCCCCATGGTGTTCTCATTAAATGAACTGACTTAACTGAAAATTTTACTTTGAACCAATTTATTTTCTCCTGCTTAAACTTGAACAATTATTAGTAAAACCTATGAAGTATATGAGTAAAATATTACTTAACTGTTCGAGTTGGAGATTACATAGTTCTCTGTCCCTCAGAATAGGTTGTCCCAAAACCTTTATTTATATCCTATAATCTCAGTACTGATAAAACCTGGTGCAAATATTCCTTCTCCAGGCTAGTAAAACAACTTGTTTGTAATGCATAAACTGATTCATGCTGAATTATTAAGTCCTAAATAAATGAAATTGAGTGGTTCCTCCTTTCCTGAAGATTAAATGATACTCTTGTTTGAACAGGTGATTTTACAGCAAAATGAATTGGGAACATGAAGCCTATAATGTTTGCCAATACTTAGTGCTCCTTTTGATTTTCTTGTTCCCCCGCTTCTCCATATATCTCTCTTAAGGTATAATGATAATGAGAAATGAGTTTGACTTGTTTTGAATTATGTGCACAAGACAGAGCTGACCTGTAGAATTCCTTGAGCTAGATATCTGAAATGCCTCTCTACTAACTCCAGCACAAGAGCACTTCTAGGAGTGACAGAAATTATTGGAATGTGAATTCCTGTTACCTGAATTCTATCAAGTTGTTAAAATTGTGCATCTCAGCACATGACATTAAAAAAAAAAGCAAATAGGAAATCTGTTGAGGCCAACAGATCTGGTTTTCCCCTAACTCCACAGCTTGGGCAACTCATCACATTAACTCTATTTGTCATCTTGCAAAAAACCCTTACTGTGTTCTTTCATTTTCTGTGAAATGAAACAGTAGAATTGTGCCTCTCACAACTTCCAATTCCAAGGGGGAAATTAACAGAGGTGAAATCTGGAGCAAATGAACATGAAAAAAATACTGAAACATCTGCATTTGTTTAGATTTATAGTTGTATTTGTATTGATAAATACTCAGTGTATTTATCTGTACAAATAATAGAAGGTGTAGTATTAGGAATAATGTATATTATGGAAGTACCTATGAAACTACTTGGAAATCTATATTAGCTTCTCACAGTTAACATACAGTACAATAAAACCTTGCAAAACTGGATCAATGCAAAGCAGCAAGTAAGATACAGGTTCAATGGGAATTTGGAGGCATTCACTTAATATCAAATGACAGGTTTGGCATAGAGAGTTTCTTTTCACCATGCTACACTTAACTGCATTTATACCCTACAGAAAAAAAAAAAAAAAAAAACAAAAAAAAAAAACCAAACAAACAGCAAAAATCCCAAAATTCCAGAATCAAAAGGACCTGAATTGATAATATGCACCATCAGACCCAGACAAACCAAGGAATGTGTATTTGCTGCCAGTGAGGTTTTCAGTACATCACTATGTTTCTGGTCTGTTACTATATTTTCTACCATATAAAACATAAAAACCCTTGTGCTCTATCTGGTGTTAGATATTTGAAAGTTATTGAAAACTAGCCAATATTCCCTTTCTATTATTAAGCAGAAATAAGAGCACCTTGGTTTATGCTGGTATGTGTATTTTTGAGAAACTTGAAGTAGTGCTGAGCTATAATGTAATTTTATTTTAAACTTAAAAATGCATATTTTATTATTCCAGTCAGAAGATACCTTATGATTTTCACTTCCTTCTATCAACGACCACAATTTTGATGCAACAGAATACAGAAACTATGTCTTGGCCAATTTTTCTTTCTAAGATACAGCTGTACAGTAGGTAAGTACCTTGATAACAGTTTTGGTGGGCATTGGTTCAGTAATGCTATTTCCATAGTTAATTAAAAAACAAGACAAAACAAAGGAAGAAGAAATAAAGAAAATTGTTCAAGTCAGTGTGGTTTGATTGAATATTCTGTTGGTCCCATACTGAACAGGCAGTGCAGACAGCTTAACAGCTTGGAGAGAGTTGACAATAGAATGCCTCCAAGACTCCAGGCCACCTTGCCATAAAATGTTACCCAGTGTAAATTTGTTTCTTTGTGATTTAGGTTACTCATTTAAGGCATCTTGTTGAGAAATTTTCCTCAGAATTTTATCTAGCAGGAAACAAACCAACAAACAAGTTTATCAACGTCACAGAGATTTTTGCAGTTGGAAGTTGGCTTTGGAGCATCTTCAGCAGATGTGAGAAGACAACTTGCTACCATAGGCAGAGGGCAGCTTGAAGAAAGACAAGGTTCCTGTTTGGAGGCTCCCCAACACAGGTATATAATCAGGAAAATGAGCAATGGAAGAGTCCAGTACTACATTCCAGTATTAGGCTGGTTTCTGTATTGTTTGCTTGTTTTTTATTTTTTCCCCAGTGTGTGAAAGAACCTAACAAAAAGCTTCTGAGTGCAATTATATTTACAGAGTAAGGCTGTGGTTAGGGTGTGTCTTCATTGTAATTATTGTGTAACATAAATATCCATCCCTGAGAAAGGAGAAGGGGGACATAAATCCAACAGAGTTGATTTTTAAGTGTATGTATGCTTATATTGTGCAATCTGGTTTTACAAACTACTTCAACACCTGAGGTGAATTAAGCAGATTTTTTCCTTTTTTTTAGATTTTTTTCCTTTTCTTATAAAGAATAATGAAGAGGATCCATATATGGTTGCAAAATATATGAAATATGGAGACAGCAGGAGTCGCTAAGTGTAACATGTAAGTTTGTCTGTCCATGAGGTTAGAATAGCCACTTGTGTGGTTGGGTAAAGAAAATCTGACTAAAAATTGCAGTGGGAGGCAGCTATTTACTGATTTTTAAAAAAGAGAGGGTGGGAACTGAAGGAGGGGAAGCAACAGAGCTTTTTAACTGTGTGCAACACAAACAAAACTCCACGTTAGGCATTAGAGGCAAAGTGCTGACATCCAGTGCAGGTAGTCTATGGGGAGCTGGCGGGGCTGATCGTGGGGCTGGAGGCGTCCGAGCGGCTGTAGTCACTGACAGAGCCTGTCCTGGAGCCGCTGCCGCTCCGCCTCTTCAGCATGCTGGGGTGGAAGTTGGCGTGGCGCCGGGCGTGCTTGGTCAGGTGGTCGCTGCGCATGAAGCGTTTCTCACACAGCGGGCAGCTGAACTTCTTCTCTCCGGTGTGAGTGCGGTAGTGCCGGGCCAGCTCATCCGAGCGAGCAAACTTCTTGTTACAGCCCTGCCAGTTGCATTCAAAAGGCCGCTCACCTGCAGGGAGCAAACACGGCACGATTAGACGGGAGAGCAGTGTCTTCCATGGGCTATTTTTTTGTATGCAGAATATAGAATAAAAAGGTTGGAAGCAGGGTGAATGCCACTTGGCACTAAGTGGATGGAGGTGTTACCCTCTGCCAGAGCAGGCTGCTGTGGTATTCCAACCCATTTAAAAATGCTGTCAGACTAGTCATATACCTTGTTTGATAACTGGGTCTTCAGGGATGCTGGGCTCCTGATCCTTTCAGGGATATCTCATATCTCTTGGGGTTTCTTGAACTTTATGACTTAATAATAGCTGTACTGAGCTTTATAGTATATTCACTTATTCCTCCAAGCTGTCCCTATGTGTCTGACCAAGTGCTGAAGTTAAGAAGGCATGATGAGGTCTTCTCCAGCTATTTTAAAAGTTATGGTAAAAACACAAAATGGCAATTTTGAGGCAGTGGATGTGATGTATTCTCCACAGCTGTGCCTGTGTTTTCTGCATTTACTACAAAGTACTGCAGTTTCCCTTGTTCACTGCCTTGGGTCTCACTCAGAAGTGAGGCGGGGGTGCTGTATTCCAGTAGGGGACAGGTACTGTCTTGTACCTTGAGGGTACCAGCCTTTTTTGAATAGCTAACATAAACCTCATAAGCTGTGGCACTTAACCTTGGAGCAAAGAGCAGTGAGCTCACAGAAGGAGCCATCTGGTGACCTGGTACAGCTCGGAACAGATCTCAGCCATGGGACAGAGGCCTGGTGCTGCTTTAGGGCCATGCACTGTGGTAGATGTGCAGTCTAGGAAGCTCTGCAGAGGCTGCAGACAGAATTAGCATTGTTGTTGGGTAGATGGGTATCTGGAATCTATTCCCAGCTTCATCACTGATGTACAGCATATGAGGAAGCACCTCATGCTTCCATCCTTAGTTTCTCCATTTCATAAAAATGAAAACGTTGAATCATGAAATTTGCTGTCTACTACTTCTGCTTATTGGTTTGGTTCTTACTGTCACTGAATCTGAACATCACATGTTCTTTCATTGTTATTAATTGAGAACATCTTATTCTTTTGTGAATACCTAAATACATAGACTTAGCATTTTTGTTAGTTGTAATTTTAGTAACTTCCTACTTGCACTAATCCTAATGTTTCTAATTCTGAATAGCCTGTTCAAGAGTCCCAGAGAGCCACATAAATTCTAGACCAAAATAAGAAATAGAAGTTCTTTCCACAGTACACTGAATAGGAAATAAAGAAAGAAATTAGCCTCCTGGAGAAACTCAATACACCTCAATTAAAACTGTCTGAGATAAAAATTGACCTCAGCAAATCTTCAATCTAAACAGCCGATAATCTGCTTAAAATTCACAGATCTGGCAATAATATTTATCTTCAGAATCTGCTCAGGAGGCTCCTGCTCAGAAAAACAGTTCTGTAGGTTCCTTTTCTCTCTGTTCATGAGGCCTCCAAGATACTTCAGACAAATCTCAAACAGTGTCTCAATGAACAGACAAGCAAGTCCTTTTAAAATAGGATTTTGTTCAATAATCTGGAGAAAACAAGTTTCCCTGATGTTTCCTTGATTATTTAGGAGAAAGACCATAGCTCATTAAAACAAATTGCTCTTAAGCACATTTGGTGGATTTCATTACACCTACAACCACAATGCATAATGCAGTGGTTGCATCTGTGCAGTACACACAGATATTGTTGTATGGAGAACTGTGACCACCCTGCCTAGGACTGCATAAGGCACCAAAGATGAACAGAACTGTGGCTTCCCTTGACGTAGAGCCTAAAAATCTCAGGGTTACACAGATGAATTTAAGAACAAAACCGCAACCAACTAGATTTAAAGGATATAATCTTGTTGCATGAAATAACCAATGCAAATCCATTCAGTGTCTTCCTTAGCCTTATTCTGCCTGCAAACTGTCAGGGACTGAACTCTCCGTCTGCTGCTAGAAACAGGAAACAAAAGTATTCTGGCTGTTTGTCATATATCCAGTTGTGTTCTTAGATATATTCCTCCCTGTGGTGGGAGATGCCTGGGGTGTGACAGCCCTGTTGTGTGACCACATTCACTGGTCTTGTCCCTATGTTTTGGTCATAGCAGAGATACACATCTAAGAGGGCTTTAGAGCCCTTGGGAAGAAGGGCAGTGAGGCATGGTCTTGGGGTAGATGTGGCCTGCAGAATTAGAGTTCCTCATCCCTGAGCTATGGCATCAGTTTTTGCTAAGACAATGGTCTTTGGAGGTTTCTATTGTCTGAGTTAACATTTCTGTTTATTTTCATTACAAATGGTATCAGCAAATGTTCTTCACTTGAAGAACTGTCCCATGAAGTGAGTGCTTTCAGACAAGGAAAGCAAAAGTTTTCATGCAATGTTTTGCATTGCTGTTGACACCACCATGAAGCAGAGGGAAAATGGCACCTTCTGTTCTGATCAGTTTAATGGCACCAGCTGCTCCTGTCCATGATTCTAGCATTTGGGAGCCAGCAGTAGGCACAACATTCCAGTTCCTAAAGAGAGACGTGCTACTGAAGCAGGATTGTGTAAGCTCGGTGTTATCCAGCACTAGCAGGTGATGAAGGTATTGCACAACTTATCTCCCCTTCTCCTCACTGCACATCAGGTCCGGATGAGAACATTCAGGTTCCCACTCATCTGTCTGATTTGATGTTGATGGTGGTGAGGATCTGGGTGCTGAGCCAAAAAATGTGGTATTTCTTCCACTATATTTCTACAATTCCTGTACTTCTCCTTCCTAGGGACTATTTTCCCCCTCAGTCCTCTCTAGTCTTCATTTTATATCTTCTTGGCACTTGGTTTTAAGTTTCTTGGCCAAGTGATTTTCCACTGACAGCTGGCATCACTCTAGTAGTGGTAACAGTTCTTTAGAGTACTTCCCAGCTTTGTTGAGGTTTAGCAATTCCTCTTCAAAGAAAAACTGTATTGTGAGGAAATGCTGGGTGCCTTGTGTGAAGATATAAGAGTCATTTTTATTGTTCATAAAAAATTAGTACACAGTCTGGAACAAAGTTGCTGGGGGGTATTAATTAAGGCAAGACCCAGCTGCTGCTCCAAAACCACACATGGAAATTCACAGTCTGTCATCATTCTCATCTCTCAAGCAGAAGGGATGTGGTTTTCTGTGCAGGTAGGTTATATAAATGTCCTTTTACCAGCAGTAAAGCAACCAACAGAATGAGAGATTATATGAATTGATTGCTTAATCTCATTAGGGAACATGCAGCCACAGTACAATGTTCCTACATAAGCAATAACCCATGGACATATTGTACTCAACAGAGAGCTTTCACCATTAAAATGGCTGTAACATGACACAATAAGGACTCTTTCAGCTCCATTTCAGGCAATGTTGAAGTCAGAATTTTACCACTATACACTCAGTGAAGAATTTGATCTTATAGATAATTGTAGAAGTGTTTTCAAGTATCTTAGATATGGGAGGAAACACATCAAGCATGTGAATGTGCTCACTGAGAGTCTTAATGCTGTGCCTTGGCAGCAGCAGTATCTTAGTGCATTATGAGCCTTACGAACAGGTCTCCAAGAGTCCTAAGTTTCCAAAAGATAAAGGTCCTTGAAAATAAATTAATCAAAATGCAACTCTGCCTTCTTTATCTTTGGAGAGGCAGGCAAAAGATGCATTTAAATATAAGGAATACAGTAATTTTTTTTTTTTTACCATTTAAAATAGGTTTGAATATTCATGTTCCAAATTCTACTAAATGGTAACCCTCCTAGCTCTTTTGCCAGGGCACATGGCATCTAACTTGTGTTTAAGTTACACAAACTGATGGAAAAACATCACATTAGAGAATTAGATTCAGCTGATCTCAACTGAAAATTACACAAGCAATAACATTTTTGGCTTTTTCCTGACCTTCATCCAGTAAAAAAAAAAAACGAAGGTAGTGTAAAGGCACACTAAGGAACTTGCAGTGCTCACCAAGTGAAAGTACGTGAGCTCTGCAGGTGCACGGAGTTCTGAATTCCTTTCAGGGGCACAGGCCTTGCTGCTCATTGTCTGGCAGAGCAGCCTGCCAAAGGAAACCCAGAGTTGCCTGGGCTATAGAAACGGCATTAAAAAAATGCACCTCTATCCTCTCTTGCTGGAAAGGATTCGGAAGTAACTAGAGCCAGCCTGTTCCTATGATATTACAGAAAGGTCTTTTGTATTATTCTGTACTTTTCAACCATTGTATAGTGAGGCAACTGTATGTAGTTATGGGAAACAAAATCTAAAGAGATGGTGGCACCAGATCTGATGTCTACTGAGCTTGATTTGTACAATCCTTTTAGTGCACATATAGTTTTAAAGACTCTTTTCCTATATAGTGAGCCTCCTGTACAGACCCTGGAGTAATCTGCTTCCTGCTTCACCAATTCATCTGTCTGATATCCAGCATCTGAATATCAATTTAAAAAGATAGTAAGTACTGCCTAAGCATACTTTAAAAATAACCTACTACTGACTGAAATGCCCAAACAGTTTGAGACAATTGTGAACCTAACCATTTTCCAACTTATAATGCAAAGATTAGGCAATTGTATGTGAAGAATTTGAAGTGTCCTATCCACTGCCCTACAGATTAGAGTATCATCAAGTCAAACCACATACTGGGGGCTATTTTTTTCAATTTACCTCATGTAATAGCTCTGCACATTATGTTAGCATGTTCAAGCACATGTCAAGGCCATGCAGTAACAAAGAAATTTGTATCCTGGGAATTCAATGAGTGTCTGCAAAACCAGAAACAGTAAACCAGAAACAATTTTCTGTGATCTTTAATCTGTTCTGCTGCTTCCCAGAACAGGGTTGAATGTTGTTATAAAAACAGACTAGCAGCCTGAACATGCTGCTGGATGCTATTCTTATTATTTCTACATTTTCATATACATAATTAGGAGTATATTTAGGAACACAGATCAGCAGGCTGGGTGGGGAAGATGAGGGGCAGACAGTTAAGAGATGTGA